CTGATACGTTTAGCTAATTTTGACTAAATGTTAAATTTAAACGTTAAATAATATATGTAAATAATAAATCCTAAATCTAAATCTACAGTAAATGTTAAATATCAAATATTGCAGTTAAATGATGAAGCTTACATTTAAGAATTCATAATGGAAAGCAGCCTTTGCCAGTGGTGCGTGTCTTTTGTTGTGACGTCTTTATCCTGCGACGAAAGCAACCGCTAACATTGCTAACACCGCTGAATAAATGCATGGCATTTAAACGTTAAATTCAAAATGTGTTCAATGAAAACACAACAGACGGTACCTGTGGTCCGGCAATTTGAAGTCCAGCTAGGACATCGGCTACAGCGGCAAGTTTGATGTCTTGTAGGGAAGCTTTAGCTGCGTTAGCGTTGTGAGCAGTATTAGCAGTTGCTTTTGTCGCAGRATGATGATGTCATAACAGAAGCTGCCAAACAACGGCCAAAGCTGTGTTCCATTCCGTAAGCTTCAACATTTAGTCACATTTAAGATTTAACTTTTGCATTCAGATTTAAACATTTAGATTTAGGGTTTAACATTTAGATATAACATTTAAATTTAACATCTAGTATATATATTTTTTTTCAAAATGTAAGAACAGTGCAGTGTTTTTCAACCCTGGTCCTCGAGACACAATGTCCTGCATGTTTTAGAGGTCTCCCTAGTTTGACACACCTGATTCAGATGACTGCAGTTCATCAAAAGCTTGCTAATCAGTTACCAATTGAAATCAGCTGTGTTGAAGCAGGGACACATATAAAACATGCAGGGCAGTGTGCCCTGAAGACCAGGGTTGAAGTGTTGAAATTTTCAACAAGGATTTTACAATCAGAAAATGAGCTAATGAAAATGTGTTAGTGACATTTTTTAATAATTTATTTTACACTTGGTGCCGCATACATTTTGAGCAGAAATTTAACACATTGTGTTATTTTGTGTTATTTAGAAAATACATATCGAAGAATTAATTTTTGATTGACTTTTTTTTTTCAGAAAACGTGCTTCAGGCCAACAACTTAGGTGATGACTTGAGTCTGGGAGCTGATGGTGAGCTCTCACACACACAACACTTACTGAGTAAAAATACACACAATCACACACGTTACGTCACATCTGCAACATTACTGATCTTTGCATAAAATTCCCATCACCTTCATTCACAAAAGCACACACAGCTAAGGGGAACTAATGAAGCAGCAAAGGATTTTATTTGAAAATTGTGTGTTATGGTTGTAATCTTTTCGTGCTCATATTAGAGACCAAAATGAAAAAAATATATATAGCAGGTTATATAATTTGTAGATATATTATCCTTTGTTAAATCTGTATTTATGTAAACTAGTTAACAGGAAATTTGATTTGAATGATTTCAATCAGATGATCAAGTTCAGAAAATAAAATGTTGTCATGCTTGAAATAATATCTACAATTCCTGATGAAGCTGTTTAATATAAACTTTCTTTCTTTCCACCGTTTAGCAGTTTAGATTGTTTCCTGATTACTTACAGTTTATAAACATGTCTGCTAAATGTAGGCCTATATTTAAAGAGCAGCAAACTGTTGCTTTTCATAAGAATTTGTATAAACTGGCTGTTAAACCATAAAAAATTATTACTGYCTGTATTTGTATTTGGATACATTTTAAAACAGGATTTATGTTTTCCGTCGATAACATTTCATTGGTTCAAATCTAAAAGGATTTGCGTTTCTTTAGCTTCCTGTTCTGATTGAAGTCTGCTGGAAACTATTTACCTTTACTGCAGCGTTTTGTTTTTGTCTGCTGTTGTCATGATATTCTTTCAAACAGTCTTTTGTTCACACGCRTCTGGCTTCCTTTATTAATTGTTTGGCTCTAGCAGTCCACCAGAGAAAGKAAGAGCAGACTGAAAGGGAGTTGTTCACATAACTTTGTGGTTGGAAATCTATTTATAGCATTTTGCCTTTTTTTATGAGTGAATTGAACTTGAACTCACTTCCTGGTTTACATTGATACTTCAGTTATTTTGAACACGACAAAGCCCAAAATACAGACGTGTGTAAGCAGTCTGAACATAAACCAAAAAAACTTTGTCAGTTTATTTTACTTCATTCTAAAAAAATTCAATTTTCATTTCAGCCTCTTTTATAAATGGCATAGAAATAACACCTGCAGCTTGGTGAGTATCAAATAMCAAGTTTATTTTACTTTTTTAAGGTTAAGCAACGGTTCCAGATTATGCACTGCCTGGCCAAAAAAATAACCGTTACACTAATATTTTGTTGGATTGCCTTTAGCTTTGATTATGGCACGCATTCGYTGTGGCATTGTTTTGACAAGCAGACCAACTGCAGCAACCCCAGATCGTAGCACTGCCCCTACAGGCACTGGGCATGATGGGTGCATCCTCGAAGACGAAGGGTCTACACTATCTTTCCAGTTTTAATAACGCATTGGACAGTTCTTAACCCAGTTTCAGTAGTTTCTGCAATCTTCTTAGATGTTTTCTCTCTTTGATGCATGCCAATTATTTGACCCTTCTCAAACAGACTGACATGTTTTCCACCACCACAGGATGTGTCTCGTTTAAGAAATGAGAAGCAACTCATTGCACCAGTTGGGGTTAAATATCTTGTTGCCAGCTGTGAGATAATAACCCATTCAATAATTAACCAACAGGAGGCTCGTACCTATTTGCTTAGTTAAATCCAGGTGGCAACCTTTTTTTTTTTTTGTCCAGGCAGTGTATGTTTAGTTTCTTCACACCTTGAAGCCACATTTTTGGAAACACTAAATTGTAGATTTTTGCTTATTTAGGGCTCAACTGAAACCAAATGAATCACTTTGTGGAGACTTTGTACCAAATGCTTAAGCATTTTTAAATTTCCCACAAATCAATCAACGCACTTTACAACATATAAACACACATTATGTACAAATATTTTTTTTTCTTTTTGCTCACCATACAGCGTGGCACAACAACCTTCTTTCAACAAACGTCTCGGCACGTTCAGCTGCAGGTCGGTTGTCGGCTCTCTCCTTAAACGATGCAAACTTTTTCGAGAAATGTATTGTTTTATTTCCTCAGTGCCTGATTTAAAGGTTTCTGTCATTTTCTTCACATTTTATTTGCAGTACCCCTCATCAGAGACTATGTCCACCATCGCTGAACCTGGGTCACAGCATGGCCTCCAGCTTTTTGTCGTCTTCCACCTGGAAAACTGTGTCCAGGTGCGGTTTTTATTTACTAATAAATGATAATGTCAAATATTTGAAACCTAAGACCAGTCTCTTCAACTCATTATTACCAGAAACCTCTTCATTAATCATTCATTCTCATTATATTTGTCTTTTGTCTGAACAATGTCATTTCCAGTGTTTCAGTTTTGTTCTGCTCAGTAGTTTTTTGGTTTTACTTATTGCTCAAACTTGTCATTTTTAGTGTGTCGGAGGTTTTGCAGATGTGTTCAGAGGATGCAGAGGAGACACTCTATGAGTTGGGTTTTGGTTGTGAAGAACCTCAGGTCAATGTGCGCATCCCTCCACGATTCTTCAGCTTTCCCTCTCAGGCTCGCGGCATCAACTTCCGCCTCTTCCTGGACTCACAGATACGGCGGATACGAGAGGAAGACCCCAACCTTTCTCTTGCTAGTAAGACTTTGTCTTTTCTTTCCAACTAACAAYGGAGCTGCTTCATGGAAGAAGAACCTCAGCTTAGCCTGTTAGCTTTAGCGTTAGCCCCGACGCTATCACCATATATATGTATTAGCTCAGCGCTACACATTCTCCTCTCATCACTGAGGTCCTCCATCCACATGACAGAGAGGGGAACACAAAAATGACTCAGCCTGCAACTGAAAATATGGATGGAGGACCTCAGTTTAGCTTGTTTGTTGCGCTAGCGCCGAGCTAATACATGTAAGGCAATATAGCGTGAGGGCTAGCCCAAAGGCTAACAGGCTAAGCTGAGGTTCTTCTTCCATGAAGCAGCTCTGTTGTCCTCCATCCATATTTTCAGTTACARGCTGAGTCATTTCTACCTTCTCCTCTCTGTCAACGCTCTCTGGTTTCATTTAAAAGAGTCGATCAGATATTGTCCAAGATTAACCTTCAGGGTGGATATAGCTCGCTAGCAGCCTCACACCAATGACCTAGTTAATGTCATCATTTACCCAGAATGCTTTGCTTGTAAATAAAATGGCTCCTCCGTGTAATACATTTTAAAAAATTTACAAAACTAAACATCCTACAGTATTTTTACAGTCTTTATTTTACAGTTAAAATAAGTGTTTATCAAATAAAGTTTAACGTTACAACTAATCGTGGATCCCTTYAAGTCTCTTTTTAAAATTTGAATAGTTTTCACTTTAAGCTGAATAAAAATGATTCCTTGATGTCCTTTTCTTCATAGGTCGTTTCAGACAAGTGCAGGTGCTCACAGCCATGGCCAATGCTTTCTACTCCCTCTACTCCCACGTGTCGCGYACTCCCCTCCAGAAGCTGGAAACCTCCGAGTTCACCTTCTCCTCTCCTGTGGAGAAGCTMGAGCGGTTCAGGACCAGTGTGCGCAGTGAGCCGCGCTCCCCGGTGGAGAGGCTGAAGGACACCGTCAACAAGATGTGCCTATACACCGGGTCGCCCCGCGGCTCAGACTCCACCTCTCCACACCCCTCGCCCAGGAAGGGATCCAGCCTCACCGATTTTGTGGACATAGTCATTAAAACCAAGACTGACACTGCTAAAATGCTGGATATGGGAGAACATGCTGATTCARCATTGGATTTTAGGTCAATCGCAGATTGTGGGATAATGAATAAAGCGATAACAGACCTAGACGTTCATCAGAGGGAAAGTAACAATCATGTTGGGATGTTGATCAGTAAGCAAACAGATAATGTGGAGATTGGTGAAATCTGTGTCCAACAAACGGATTTTGACGATACTCCTCCTCACAGTATGAGAACATCTCTAGATTCCTCATTATCCGGAGAAACGGTGATAACAACAGATCTGCTTCSCTCGTGTCAGCTGAAGAAGGACTCWTGTTTGACTGAAAGCGACACACGTACAGCTAAGAGAAATCCTGCCGCCAGAGTTACATACGATCTAATCTGTCCACAAATAACTGAGAGTGCGCACCAGGCGTCTTTCCTCTGTCAGAACACACACCGCACCGACAGCTTGCTTCATGTCTCCTCTGTGGCAGAGAGCACAGATAGATCACACAAAGCCCGTACACAAACCCCRACCTGTGAGGACCCTTATAAATGTACCGCTGCCCCCTCTGGAAAGGCCTCACAGGTTGATGCTCTCAAGTCACTTCCTGTCGAGGGACCTAGCGGCAGCTTCGCTCATTACTGCATCACTGTGACCGGYTGGGAAGGGGAGGACGTGTCAGCGAACCCAGCAGAGTCCCGTTACACCTCACCTGTTCCGTCCACGCCCACACCTGAGGAGTCCTTTAGTGAGGAGGAGAGACGGTACCTGAATCCGCCGACACACCTGGGCTCGGCCAAGATTTCAAGTAACCCTAAGCAGGTCAACTCGTTCGAGCTGGAGGAGGTATGTTTGTAAAAAAATCTCCCGCTTGAATGAACAAATATTTGTATAGGAAGTCAGGTTACTTACGATTCATGTTAAAGGAATTAAAAAGGTGATTGTGATAAAAGAGTAACGATTGACAATAAATGCAAGCTGAGAAAGGATGTGAAAAGAATTAGATTTTTTTTTATCCTCAAGCACACTTGGTTAAAACTGTAGCTTTGTGATAACAATTTTTTTTTAAACCACAAGTTGATTATTCTTATCTTAAAATAGTTCAACTTTAACTCAGCTGGAAAAAACTGGTCATTTCTTTTCTCAAAAATGAGTTTTTCTGTCTCAAAATCATGAGTTTGGTGGGAAAATGAATCATTCTGGCATTGCACSCAGTCTTGTCGCTCCGTTTTAGTCACAGCACTTCAAGGTTGAATCAAGTCATGAATGAATAACTGCTGGATGTTTCCTGGTGTGACATTTACTGCTTGTAAAATAACTACACAAATCCACTTTTATCACCAAGTGCTGTTATTTTGTACTAGACAAATGAATAACTTCTATCTCATGATTACATTTTGACTGATTTGGTGAATCATTTCCTGTTTCTTGTTGAGTAAAACCCAATTAATGTCCAAGGAAATGTGCACGTTGWTTCGTAGCTTCTGACTTACTGTTGACTTTTTTTGGTTCTGCCACTTTGAATGTAGCGCTTCCCGCTTTGTTCCCTTCCTGCTGCCGTTCTGTTTTGAAGTTTTRTGGAATGTGTTTTGTGGAATGCCGCCGTGTCCGTGTTGCAAAACCAGTAATGTAGGTGCATCAAGAGCTAAAAAAACAAACCCAAAATGAAAGAAAAAGAAAACAACCTCAGTAAAGCAGAAGAAAACCTAAAACTTGTGACCATGATGTTAAAGTTTTGCTTTGCTCTGAYGGTTGAGTGTTTCTTTATTGTCGAAACAGAAAAGCACTTTGTGAAATATACTTTTTTTCTGATTGCATAGGTTCACAGTGCAGGGGAGGAAGATTTTGCACAGTCAGAAGCTACAAGAACAGCCACCTCACATTCATACAAAGGTATCAGATGTTAACATTTCTTACATGTGAAAACTTTTCTTGATCTCTTGTTTTGTCATCGAACTGCTGACATCATGTTCATGCAACACTTCAAACCGTGATAAACTATGCTTCTTCTTTCTTATTAAACACTGATGATTCAGTTAAGACACACTGTAGAGCCTTAGTTGTGACCCGACTGCTGTATTTAAAAAAAGACTGGTGTGAAAACACGTGTGAACTTGACACAAAAAAGAGGGAAGCTTTCTGAGGCTTGTGTGGAAAACAGGTCAATATGGGGCCTTTTGTGCCAGTTCGGATCAAAAAGCAGCTGCAAAGCTCTTTGTAGTTTTGCAGCATAAAGCTGAACGTTCTCTGTTTGTGTAGGGGAAGTGGTCCGAGGCGACAGCGTGCAGTCCGACAGCAGCGGCTACGCCGACGAAGAAGTCAGCCCCTCACCAGAAACACACAGCAGATGACGGGGAAACAAAAAMCTTCTGCTCTAAAGATTTGTTTGACAAGTGCTTTCAAACACGGACTTTGATGCAAGATAAAATGTGAAGTTTTGAGAAGCTGAAAACAAAAGTTTCTTGGAGAGGTGCACGCAGAATGCTCATAATGAGCACAGAATATGTAAAGAATTTAATAGATAATGCTAGGAAATGTTTATTTTAATGGAATGATTGTTTGTTTATTCAACGGTAAAATGTACAATGTTCTTAAACAGAGCAACAGTTTCTCAGGGAGTTAGTGTCATTTTACATTTCTTTTTTTAGTATATGAAAGTGCCAGCACAAAGATTTGTCATGAATTTCATGTTTCCGTACACGATGAAAGCACGGAGTAAAAAAAAGTTACCAACTTCCTTGTTGAAATATTACAGCTTGTAATATTTTCTAATTATAATTCTCTGCAGGATACAATATAAAATGTAGATAACCTAAAAAAAAATTTTAAATTAGAAACAAATGAGAGATACATGCAGGTGACTTTTAGACACGGAGACTCAAAGGGCAGTCAATGAAAACATTTCATTTTTAAAATATTACAAAGTCATAAAAGAAGTACAAAGAAAAATACTGAGGTGTATTTTGGGCATCACACACAACGTTCTTGAGGTAATTTTTAAACTCTAACTCAGCTTAAAATCTGGTTTGACATAATCAAGTTAAAGGTTTTAATATTTTCAGTTTTAGTCAAGAATTTAACAACTTTAAACAGAACCATGATTATAAAACTCCCACAGACAGCAGTTATAGAAAAAGTGAAATAGGAATTATGTGGGAAATATACTAAAAATAAACACTGTTTAACTTTTTCTTCTAAATTATAACATGAATTAGCATCTACAAAATGACGGTGTACAATCCTGGAGTTCAAGTTCATTAAATAACTGAAGTCATGTTTCTCATGTCTTATTGGTTAAATGGATCATAYTTAAAATAATTCATTTATTTGGTAGTCACTTTTTCTACACGTCGAGTTGTAGTTTTAACATCATTTCATATGAACTAAGATTATTACAAAGTAATAACAAAAAAGGGAATTATCTTTTTTCTTTGGATGGAA